GAGTAATTGAACTGCAGTCATAGAGTGTATAATTGAGTATTGTTGAAGTCGAGCATGTGAGACGTTTGTAATAGCGCGACTGTTGAAATTAAGTGTAACGCAAAGTTATATTCAGAATAAATAAACCAGTTTTATTAAGAAAGGACTTGTGTCGCTAAAGTTTCGTCGGAACGAAGTTATGGAAAATTAACTAACGAACGGAGACGTAAGAATATACAGTGACGTACGCAACTGTACTAAATCGTTAATTGGGTGCTGTTGTTGTTCACTATTTTAAGATGTTGGTTATGGTTATATAACCGAGCACTATCGTGTTTAACCTTCAGGTTTGCAGTCTAGAATAAATTTGATTTGGTGTTTTACAAAAGCCTTCACCTACACCAACGTTTCTCAAACTGGGATCTCGACCCACAAAGGGAGATCGCGAGATTATAAAAATATTGCGATAACGGATATATTAGAATATGAACAGTAACTTTATAATAACTAGGCAAACGGCGATTTATAAGCATAAGTAAGAATTTTATTGATGGTCGAACATACTACATAAGTAAGAATTTTACTGATAGTGGTATGTTCCACCATCAATAAAATTCTTATTTGTTCTTATAAATCGTTGTTTGCAGTTTTGAAGGTACACAGCTGGGTGAATTAGACCTGTTTTTGAAAAAGAAAAAAAAATATATGTGTAAATATAAAAAACTATAAAGCATCTCAAATAAGTCCTGGTACTAGTACCGCCTTAAAAAATAAGTTATGGTACTCAGTACCGGTGAGTACCGGCAGAATTTCATCCCTGGTTGTTTGCCTACCTATTGTTATATTAGAATCCAGAACAACTAGACACCGGACAACTGGACATAAAAAAATGACGAAGTAGGACATTTAGACACCACTTGTTTATTATCAAAGAAAACAATAATTACAATAATGTTCTGCATTATATGACCTGTATGTATCTAGGCTTACTACATTACCAGTTTAATTTACTCCTTTATATAAACTGTATAGATCTAGGCCTATTTTATCAAAATTTTAAATTTACTCCATTATTTGACCTACAAAAATCTAGGTTTATTACATTACCAGTTTGATTTACTCCTTTATATAAACTGTATAGATCTAGGCCTATTTTATCAACATTATAAATCTACTCCATTATTTGACCTACAAAAATCTAGGTTTATTACATTACCAATTTGATTTACTCCTTTATATAATATGTCTGCGGACTTATAACGCTAGAAACCGGGTTTCGATACCCGTGGTGGGCAGAGCACAGATAGCCCTTGTGTAGCTTTGTGCATAATTAAAAACAAACAAACAAACAAACAATCCTTTATATAAACTGTATAGATCTAGGCCTATTTTATCAACATTTTAAATCTACTCCATTATTTGACCTACAAAAATCTAGGTTTATTATATTACCAGTTTGATTTACTCCTTTATATAACCTGCATGGTAACCGGACAACTAGACAATTATTAGATGTCTAAATATCCTACTTCCTCATTTTTTTGTCTAATTGTCCAGTTACCGTTATATTAGCATAATATGCTTCCTTCCTCAAGTACAGTAGCTTGTTATCACTTATGCGCGTGTGTGGGGGTCTTCACAGCCTGAAATAGTTTATAAGGAGGACCCAGTGAAAAAAAGGTTGAGAAACCCTGACCTAAACAAAAGTTCTGTTAACCTTTGGACGTTACAACATTTCAGGCAACACCACTAAACTGTCTTCTTTATTAACAGTATGAATGAAAATACATATAATGAAACTTAATTTATAAAATCATGGCCAAAATATAACTCTACTTACTTAATTAAAATTAAATTTGAAAAATCTTCTATAACAAGTACTTTGCAAAATCAAAATTCCTTAATACTGCCTTATGTATGACACTAAATAAAATCACCAGTTCTCACTCAGATACACCCCCATTCCCTTTTAAATCAAATTAGGTTTTTATGCTAAGCTGACTAACAAATTCTGTATATGACGCAAATAAAATTGAAAACCTTTTGTTGCTAACGTAAAAGCAATCAGCATCTGAGGGAATTTTTGTCACGTGATATTTCATTTAGTTATCATCCCGGCGCAATACACAATCTGGTGTTTCATATATGAAGTTGTGAACAAATTGACGTGACTACTTCTACATTTCACACAACAAACAAACGACTACCTTTTCCTACACTGTTCAAATTTCAATATATTAAATATTAAACTGGATATATTTTCGAGGATATTAACTGCGAATGTACTTAATTGGTCAATATATTTTCAGTAGATTGGTATAATTTAATTGAAATCCTTGTACGAGCTGTCTAGAATATTAAACACGTCATCCTGATTCTAATTATTTCTAACGCAAATGTCATTTTTATTCGAAAATTCCAATTGCTCATTATCATATTTTAAGACATCAATGAAAGTGTGGAGATGTTCAGCGTTTTCCCATCTCGAACCTTAGACTCTTCGATTCGTAACTCAACATACTAACCACTAAATCATGCCCAATCATTTAACCTAAGGATCCAATAAATTAACAGATTTTGTTGTTAAGCGCAAAACTACAAATTGGACTATCTGTGCTGTGGCCATCATTGGTATAGAAATCCGATTTTTAGCGTTAAAAGCCTTCAGACTTACTGCTGACCCAGCAGAAGGGCCCATTAATAGTCTTTCTTCATCATAATTAAGACACAAATAACAGACAAATTTTTAAGTGTTTGCATGAGTGTGTGTATCCAAAGTCCATTGAATGACTTAATTATTAGTCTTTTTCATTTGTGTTACAAACTCTTTCTTTATAACCTAGCAAAAGATAAGACTAATAAACATAAATATCTATATTATGAACCACGGTAGTGGTTAATAATGAAGATCGCCCATTTGTTCTTCTTTATTATTATCTAATATTTTTCTGCCAGCCAACAGCAAAAATGGCTGTGAGTATTGTAATACCTCGCAATATTGCGTATTATGTAGGGTAGTTTTTAAGTTTATTTGACTATTTAGCAAATAACAGCGGCTGTAATAACTCTTTCCGCACGGGTCAAAGGCCATGTCATCGTGCTTGTTGACTCGCATTCAAAATTTTATTGAACTACTATTTTATGAATTTATGTCATTAAGTGTGGTATCAAACTGTGAATTATATATTATCTAATTTATTAATTTAAAAGTAAATATTAAAACAACACATTTAAACATAGGTTTTTGTGTGTCACGTGGTGTGTTGAATGCAGCACTGGTTCAAATTAGATGTTTGTGATGTCAAACTACAAATTCTATAGTTTTGTACGAATTAGGAACTCAAACTGACAAGCTAAAATATAAGATAAGAACCTCCTATATTTTTTGTTTGCTGAGATATCGCTCATGTGCACAGAATGAAACGCAGTGGCCCCGCTCACCTCTTTCCAATTTTGGAAACGGTCCCTTATATAAGCTCAGAAGGTCCCCCTAGTGGCTTTCTCAGCCATTTTGGAGTATTAGAGACGCCATCTTATTCTTTCGAACCAAGATTTCATGGAGGTAGATATGTCTTTGGTTTGTTCGAAATTTCATATTTTTTTTAGACCGAAATGCAGTTTGTTTTCTAAGCTTGATAAATTATAATGGAATTCTGTGGTATCAATATAGTAAGTTATGATTGTTTGGTTATCAAATGTATATATATGAAACCTAAAAAAAAATTTATCTCATTTCACATCCTCCATGCGCAAAATTTCTTAAGGCTTAGCAAGCTACAACAGGCAGCAACCGAGTACAAAGGTCGGCACTAGAAGAGATAATTGTTCGCTTTACTTCTTTATTTGCTGTTCTATGTTTTAAGGAAAATAAGTTTAAGAAGTTATTTGTAAATAGTAATAATTTATATTCATATATAATGTGTAATAATTGAAATGTGACAATATTTTACAAAATACTAATCCACTAAAACACAATCAAAATAGGTCACTTTGTTTAGACTAAAGATCAGTTTTATATTATTGGATTCGATAACATGAGTGCACGTGGGCCGTGTCATTATAACTTCTGTATTGTGAGCCAGGCACTGCTGAAAGGTCAACAGAATAAAAATAATAAATATATATAAATATATAATGTTATGATATTTAAGCTATTTAGTCTAAACATTTATGTTTTCGTGTTATAACTTGTAGTTATTCTAGAACGATAAAGGCATAATTTATATTTATTTCCTAATTCTTTTTATGGTTACGAGATCGGTCAAATAGACCAATCCCGTACAGATATTCGTTAGTGAAAATAACAGATAAAATATAAAGTTTTTCTTAAAAAACGTTTGAAAACTGTCTGAACATTATAAGGATTTCGCATGTGAAATTTTAAAATTTTCTGATGCATAAAGTATTTTTAATCTTAAAATGAAAATTACTTTGCATGTTGGATAGGCAACATGGGGGAAAAAAAAGGCATGGGAAAACATTGCTTTAGAAAAAATCAAAATTAAATATCTTATTTTTCAAAAACTACATACTTATAGGACCTTTCATCTAAAAATTTAAAAGAATTTCATACACTAGTTAAATTTTTGTAAAGAACTTTCACAATAGCCGTCCATTCTGCATGAAGCCAATCCAAATGTTGTCATTGTTTTCTAAGAGAGCATCATACACCAACTACGTATTTCATTAAACTAAACTTTTTTTAAATAGGACAGTATTGCTATCATACTGTAACGCTCCCACGGCTGAAAGGGCGAGCATGTTTGGCGGAACAGGAATTTGAATCCGCTACCCATGCCGGGCCAGAACGGTAAGAGTTATTCACTTTAGACCTTTATCTCAAATTTGTCTTTGTATTGTCATTCATTTACCTTCGAAATAAGTTGATTCGATACAAGCACAAAACATTATAATTTATTTCTTTGATATTCGTTTTAAACCTCAAATACAAGGCTACTAATCTAAAAAAGAGTGAAATGTAAGAGGAAAATACTAGAAACTGACAAGCTGTATTAACTTACATTCTGGATCAGAATGTTTCCGTTGAGATTGGTATGTTTGCGGCGTCACCTGGTAGAGGGAATTATAGTACTGTGTACTTCCAGGTGAAGGTGAATCCGCTATTCTTGGCGAAACTGAATGTGGGTAAAACAAAAATTTTGTATTTTCCATACATTGTTACACAAAAAAAAAATCATTAAAGAATACTTAACTCCAATGTTACACGTCTTCACACAGAACACGCAATAAAGTCTCACTCATTGAACTTTATTCTATACGAGTACATAGGTACATACTGAATTACAGAAAAAAAAAGTAATAAATTACAAGTTTTCCATACAGTTTATCGAATAACATCAAATGTCTACCAGATGCCAAAACATTTAAATAATAAATAAACACAACTTATGGACTTTTTATCTGCGGATTTCTCGTGTGACTCAAAAACATAGACCATTAAGTTTAACGAATGATATTGAATAGGGAAAAGATATTACAAGGAATAGTATAACATGACTTGCAACAGGTAAAACGTGACTGAAACTTGCAGGGAATACAGACTTTTTGTAATTCAAATAACGACAAAACATCAAAAAAAAAAAACTGAGGCGTAATATTGACTTAGTATTATATACTTAACACTACATGCAATTATTTTTCTCAACGTAGAAAGAGAATTGGTATATATTTATTTATACAGCTTTGGTGTGTTAGATATTGGTAAAAAACGCGACGAATCACTTTCCCGAACAAGAGAAATGTTTGTTTCCTTGTATGAACCTAACATATAACACTGAGGTTTCCAAGGTGCTTTGTTTTGTTTTTCCCCAAGGTAGCGGATTATATATATATTTATTTTTTAAACTGTTGTTGTTTATTATTAAGCACAAAGCTACACGAAAGGCTATCTATGCTCTGCCCATCACGGATATCGATACCCGGTTTCTAGATATATAAGTCCACAGACGTGCCGCTGTGCCATTGGGGGACTTTTAAACCTGATTATTGAAATTTGTCATTGAATGTAAGTGAAAACTTTAACCAATTTTCAGTAATTATCATAATGTTTTTTTCCCAATATAACACATTCTAAAACAAAGCAGTGATAGCTAAAATAATACATTAAGAAACTCTGCATTAAAACCAAAATGCTTAGGGCAAAATGAATAAAAAGTGAAACTCCTATTTCAACTAAACAATGAACACTCCGAAATGCTAAAACTTGTCATTAGCCTTCACTATAAGATAAAAGAAATGACAGAGAAGGGACAAATACACGAAGTATTATGAGATGCGAAGGCAAGTGTTAATAATATTCCAAACTACTGAACGCAATGGCTCACCCCAACATCCCCCTGTTCATAATATATCGGTAAGCTTAAGTTAATATAGATACAGAATGTTGTCTATCTTTCCACCCACCCCTATCCCCATCCATCCATCTATATCAAAATAACTTAATAATGCGCATCACATATGCAACTGGCCGAAATTATATTTTCTTGATAAATATGTATATAGAATATTTTTTGCTATTAAGATTTCAAGATTAGAACGAAGACACTTTTATGATCATAATTGAATTTCCAACATAAATCGATAAAAGCTTTCTGACTGTTTTTGTTTCTGACAAAATAAAATATAAAAAAAGAACATCAAACACATACCTGATAGTGGCTGCAGTCTGGTTTTGGATTCGTCAGTGCTCAAGTGACCACTGCTACTGTCCACGTCAGAAACTCCACTGTCAGCTGGACTTGGAGGCAGAGAACCTAGTGCAGAAATATTTAGTTGCAACAAAACTTGGTATGGCCTAAAGATCTCGTTACTACAACTTGATTCAACTTGGATCGAAGAAGATAAACTGAATTAAATTTATTCCTGTTTATAAAGTATAGAGTAAAAATTTCAGAACTGTGTGATCCATAAAACTTGTAATCATTATTTAGAAGTCCATTATGAAAACAAAATTCAATCATTTACCAAATCTGTTTAAGGATTATCAATCAAGATGATAAAGGCTATAAACAAACATGATTTTTAAACTATGTATGTTTGATTTCAGTATTTAAGAAAAGGCAACTATGACGCATCCAACACACGAAAGTACGATAAGTAATCATATCACATTCGCTCTAGGAACGTTAGGGTAGGTATTGATAATAAAATAAGGTTAGATCATTTAATTAAAAATCACAAAAAACACCGAATTAACACAAAAGAAATCCTTGTACAATCCTTGCTTTTTTTAGCAACATAAGTTTAGTCATCGTAAGTTTATTACAAACGTGTAGAAATAAACAAACTTTTTCGTCGAGCTGATGTTTTTTAATATTAACAGTAAAATTACATTGGGAACTCAAAGAAGTTTTGTTTAATTGTGGTTAAGCATAAAGCTACATAGTGGGCTATCTGTGCTCTGCCAATCACGGGTATCAAAACCTGAATTTTAATGTCGTAAGCCTGCAGTTTTACCGCTGAGCCACTGGTGTGCCACAGTGAGTTAGTTACTTGGAGTAGCGAGAGATTCTGGCTTCAAATCTAAACACTTAAGACGGGTATGGAAGAGGTGGTAAAAATGTTTAAACGAAAGAAACCATTCAAAAGTATGAATAATTCAGTATCATAGGCGTTTCCATTGGCCAACATTTTCCCGTTTTCCCCATCCCCAGTGGCTCAGCTGCAAGTCTGAGGTCTTGTAAAGCTAAAAATCGGGTTTTGATACCCGTGGTAAACATGTTGAAAGCTGTCATTTTGAACATGATGACAGGTGACATGTAAAGTCTAGCAATGATTTTCATTCCTTGTGTAAGAAATCAAACAAAACTGTTTTACAATAATGTAACATACTTAGAAACATATTAATGTCTTTGATAGATTGTTTAGGCAGAGTATTTATGATGAGACTTTGTAGAATGGACGCAACTGCCTGTTGTAGAGGCACAAGTGTAGAGGACGACGTTTAGAAAGTCTTCCGCCTTTCGTCTTCAGGCGGAAGACTTTCTAAACGTCGTCCTCTACACTTGTGTCTCTACAACAGGCAGTACCCGTTCTCTCTACAAAGTTTCATCATATTAATGTCGTTTTTAGCTTCAACTAGCTGAACTATGATAAGACAAAATGAAATCCTACAACAGGACTGTGCATAATTGAAGTTTCAATTTTATGATTGTGCTCCTGAGTCAGATCTAGGGATAATCCAGGTTCATTTTCTAAGGTCATCAGAGAACGGTAAAAACCCACCAGTGCATACTTACCTGTAGTGGTACTGCAGGACACGAGGGATTGGTAGTTGAAGCAAAATGAAAATGGAAACTCCCGAGGATCCTGTTGGAAGATACTCTGTAATTGGGTTTTTGTGTCGGTTTCAGGGCTGGAAGTTTCATACTTGAGTAATCTTTCTGCTGCAAACTCTTGATTTGACTGCTTTTCTGAACACATGTTCACGTCGCGTCCATTCACTAATCGGAAACAACAATAATTAAATCCAAATTATTGTTTACGTTACATCACATCTATGGGAAATTGAATTCCGTGTATATGAACAAGAAAGCAAAATTGATATCTTAATTATCATTCCGTAGGTGCTACGCCAAAACAAGAGTTGGGAGGTTAAAGTTGTTTCTTGATGAGTTTTAAAACTCATTTATTAAAATATTTATATGTGGCAACCTCGTTGCATAGCTATAACAGATCAATTAGTGAAGTATAAAGAAGTGAAAATGTAAAATATACTCAGAAAACTGCGTAGTGTATGAACTATTTACATCTAAAAACATATCCATACAGGTGCCATATATATCAATAAAGAACATCTCGTGTCCTTGTGGGTAGTATTGATATATAATGATATGTATCGACAGAAAACATGTTTATGGTCTGACAGCTATTAACAGTAAAAACGTTAATGTTCTGACAGCAACGTGTACGTGTTCTGATAGGTAATGACAGAAAACAAGTATACGTTTAGCATGTTCTGCACCTTTCCTTCGTTTCGAGTTTCTTACAGAAATAAGAAAGATTTATCATGTTTGTTCACTATGTTCTAAGTCTTTCCTTCGTTTCGTGGTGGTTAGGACGCTCGATCCGCAATCTAAAGGTCACGAGTTCGAAACCCTGTTACACGGAACATACTCGCCCCTTTTAGCCGTATGGGCGTTATAATGTAACGGTCAATCCTACTATTCGTTGGCAAAAGAGTAACCTAAGAGTTGGTGGTGGGTGGTGTTGACTAGCTTGCTTTCCCTCTAGTATATCACTGCTAAATTATGGACGGCTAACGCAGACAGCCCTCGTGTAGCTTTGCGTGCGCGAAATTCAAAAACAAACTTAACAAACAAATCCTTCTTTTCTTACTGAGAAAAGGACTTCATATGTATACGTTCACCATGTTCACATGTCCTTCCTTCGTTTCTTACAGAGATAAAAAGGACTTAGCATGGAGCGCGAAGCAATATCAACATGTAACAACACTAGCCCATTCCTCGGCAGATATTAATTCACACATAAGTGTTGTACACACTGCTCTTAATAATTACTCTATGACGTAATTTCTACACTGCGTGATGATCGTTCTAACACCATCTTACAATAAGTGAAACTTAGTTATACATATACGCTAATTCATAAGCAACTGAGAGTGGTTTATATATTATTATTATTCCATTACATTTTGTCAGCACACAATTCAATCCAATCACAAATTTCCCCAATTAAGTTGAGTTTTGGTTTCAAAATGATTTCTCACAATAAACGTACTGATTCTGAAACGAATATGGTAGCTGGAGACAGAGTTAGTTTGTTTGTTTTAAAGCAAAACCACATTGGGCTATCTGCTGTGTCCACTGCGAGGAATCGAACCCCGGATTCGAGCGTTATACGTTCGTAAACTTAACGCTGTCCCACCGGAAGACAATAGAGCTAAAATATCAGATAAAGAGATTAAGGATAGAAAAATAGAAAGTCAACTAAGTTGAATTTTAAACTGGTCATTTTCACATTAATCTCGCTTGTATTTTCTTCATGGTTTACATGATGTTTTGGTCTCCGTGTCATGAAAATAGGCCTAAACTGCTACTCCAATTGTTAAAAGTTTACGAGCCTCCATAGTGTTTGCCTGCAAAACTTGAGGTAAAATTGATTTACTTCCAACTTTAATCTCCACAGACACGCATGTTGTTTTCCACAACTATGAATTTTTGACGTGTTTCATACATATTAGACCTCTACACGTGTAAAAACTAGTTACTGAAAGGCCTGATCGTGTGACTGCCTCATTGAATGTGTGTGTGTGTAATTTTCCTTAAAACGTAATTATCAAGTCTCCTTTTACGTGCCAAAAAGTATTAAGAGATCTTCTGATTGAAAAAGTTTCATTAGTGAGGGTGAAAGAAACACTAAAAAGTAAAAAAAAGAACAACAAAAAACACCGTATATGATATGACTGGGTTTGAATGAAAGTTACAATAATATAACATTTTATTTACAACGTCGTTACTAAGAAAGTCCGAAAATAACACTCTATGTAACTGCAATAACAAAGGGCGTAGCACCCTATCCGCAAAAATGCGGACGGTTTACTCCAATTTTATGGTTGTCGTTGTTGTTACCTAAGGAAAGCTCAAGTTCACCATTTAGTTTTACCACAAGTGTATCTATCTACCTATTCAGCATGGAACGTAAATTTTTGGCGTTCGACAAAAGACTCATGGTTACATATGTTTAAGGACCCAGCAACACCCCAGAATAATAATATAAGAGAAGCATTATCTATTTTCGAGTGTGTGTTTTTTCTATCATACATTGCACATTTTGAATCACAGCCTTGTTTTTTAAACCTATTGAGCCGACATAATGACCTGTAAATTTCTAAATGATCAATGAGCAGGCATGGCGACTTGTAAATATCTAGTTAGTACCGATAGGTTCAACCGCATCAGATTGACTACATTTTGCAAATAAGATCTAAAGCATTGTTGTAACTTCGGTCTTTGGCTGGGCGGGCTATTTTAAAGTATTAAATTTGGTGAAAATAATTCGAGGTCCAGTCAACATAACGATAACCAATTAGTTAATTTATTCAGTAACGTTTCCACAAGCTGCCTTCACTTGTACAATATTGTTACTTGTAGGCCTAAGGAAATACCACGCTAATTGTAATACCTAACATACAAATAAACTTACTTGTACAATTTCACGACTGATCAATTAATTAATTGAATATATATATGCGCTATCTACCACGGATCCAAATACTTCACTAAATCTTTAATGAATTACTAACAACAAAAGTAACCCAATAATAATTTACTATTCACAATTAGTTTATTTCAAACAAGGCATTGACTTAATGCTTCACTTATTCTCGTATTTATAGCTTTCTCTTGCCTCTGATGTTCCTCGAATTTACTAAATTTTCCTGACGTCAAATTAGAACTTCTAGGCCTACTCTCACAAACTTACCTGATCTTAACGTTTTACACCATCTAGCTAACATTTTAAACATTGTAAGTTTAGCTTAAAACAGTATTATTTAGGAATGGTCTATAATCATAATAGTTACAGTGAACGTATGCAGTATTTATGTTATATTAGACGCATAACTATAAAGGAAAAATGAGTATGCAAGACCCGTATAAAACTTGGCGATAATCGGAGAAAACAAACAAACAAACAAAATGCAACGTACTTTCTTCTGGCGAATCACACAGATTTAAGGGTTTGTGAACCCGTTTTTTGGCAGCACTCCATCCAAATTAAGCGAAGGTCGTGTTTGTAATTCGTGTGCAAAATTGCAAGTGTAGATGAGGAAAAGTCGTATTAAATACTCTTCATGTACTTAAACATCAACAACAAAAAAGCCTTTAAAATACTCTTCCAACGTTGTCGTTTTAAGTTTTTACGAATGAATGCAAACCACTGACAACAGTTACGGTATTTAAAATATTTCTACATTTTCACAGGTTGCTTGTTATGCTTTACTATCCACATTATTAATGCTTCACAAGAAAACGCTGCCTATTCAGCTTATAAACACCTGACCAGAGACATGCATATAATGATTTCATCCACATTCAGGTTTTGCTTCCTTAGTAACTGGCGATTCAGCTACGAGTCTCTCTACACGATAGTCCATGACTCAAAATTAAATCATTCAATAAAGTAAAAAAAAAAGTTTCACGAAAAACACGTATTTTATGAGTTCTACGGCCGTTCTCAAGGTTAGCTGGAAACCTACTAACTTGTAGTAAAAGTGGAGGTCGAAATAATTGGCCGGGCGTTAGTTAGTTTTTGTTAGTGAGTGATCGGCTCACACACTGTTGAATTCAGGGCGGATTTCGTTGACAGTGTTTACAGTCTTGTGATAACCGTTAACAAGTAATTATACATATTTAAACTATTGAGTTGTATCGATTGGCCTCATTTCGGGTACTTAGGACTGGTCAACCAAGACAATGTCCAGTGACATCTGTGGTCACTCTGCTTCTGCTCAAAATCTCACCATTCAAACTGTAAGCGTAATTACTTTGTTGCCGTTCTTCATTCTGAAGTCAACTTGTAAATAGTAGATTCACAAAGAAGACCCGACATGGCCTGGTGGATAGGGCGCTAGAATAGCAATTTTAAGGTCGCGGGTTCGAATCCCCGTTCCATTCTTGCCCTTTCAGCCATGGGGACGCTATAATTTGACAGTCAATCCCACTATTCGTTGGTAAAAGAGTAGCACAAGAGTTGGCGGTGGGTGGTGATGACTAGCTGCCTTCCCTCTAGTCTTTCACTGCCAAATTAGTGACGGCTAGCGCAGATAGCCCTCGTGAAGCTATGCGCGAAATTCGAAACAAGCCAAACCAACTTCACAAAGAAATTTCAATGACCTCCTAGTTAAGGGTCACGTTGCAATGGTGCACTGCATTCTGCTGGAAGTAAAAAGAATGTGAACTTTTCACCAAAAATTTGTTAAAACACAAAAAAGTTCACAACGGCTTTGTCAGATTATGTGCATATTAGTGAAAAATCAAATTCATGTATTCGCAACAAAATGACCACTCATTAACTTTTTGACTAAATACCCAAAGAACAGATTAAACTTATGAACAAAAACTGATAAAATATAAATCAATAAGTGAAGCATTCCTTTGCAAAAGAAAAAAACACACATCTAAACCCCTTTCCCCTGTGCTAATAAAGCAATGGTTCCTCTGATCAGGGTGACAACAAATTCAATAAATCTATCTCATCCTATGAAAAATTACAGACATAATTAAAAGAATAAAACTTTTTGCATAATATTTGGAAATTTTCAACGCAGTTCACAAGCGAAACCATATAATAGTAGAGAAATAAATACTGTATATAATTCATGCCAACCATACTTGTCTAGTTAGCACAGAAGCATCATACAAATGTTTTCCACAATCCACATACTTTGTATATTTCCGCGTTTAAAAATAACAACAGCCTT